GAAAACTTGTCCACAAACTCGTCACCTATTTTCTTTTATTTCGATAGCTGATATATTTTTTACAGAAAATTCAAAGTGGAAGACGTGTAGCAAGTGGGTTTTTTTCAAAATTTGAACACCCGACCAAGAGACAAATAGATCTTCATGTTTTTAAACAATATGTAAATACACCGATAAACAACTTTCCGAACTAACAGACAACAGGCTAATTTATCAGTAGTTTTTTTAGTAAAGATAACCAGTTGCCTATCTCATTGTATAAATCGTATGTCAAATGGTCTGACATATGGTAGGCTTAACAGTTTATTTGTCAAAAGATGTGTTCAAGTATATAATGTGACAAAGCTTAGATCCAAAGCTTTCCACTGGTGTAATAAATTTTAAAAGCGGACATTAAATCACAATTAAACACGGTTTATTTTGTATTGTTTTAGCATAATAAGTTAACGATTTTACTGGAAGACATGGGAAACAACTGTTTTTTCTCTCAATATACCTCGGCTATGTAAGTAGTTCATATCAAAGGTGTTTATGGGTGTATTGTAAGATTAATTAAAGATATATTTTTTTTCTTTCTTACATAAAAAATTTAAATCCAATTATTCAGGCTAATATATCAATTAAATTGCGACAAGTTAACCCAAACATACTGGACAAGTTCACCCGAATCACGGATTTACATTAATCCGTGCCCAACTGAACAAGGAAGGGGTGAGTTTACTAAGGTCGAGTTGACCTGACATCATCATACGATTATTAATGGACATCCTTATTGGTAGACAGACTTTTCACACACCCTTTTTTTCCTAATATTAATAAAATAAGTTCTTGTTTTGATTTACTGAAGTTTGCGGAAACTATTTGAAGTTTGGGTGGAAAAAATACTTGAATAGATTACCTTGGCATACTGTACTGTATACCGTCAGGGGAGGAAATGGTTTGGGAGAGAACCGTCAGGGAGAGGAACTGGTAAGGGAGAGAATAGTCTCTCATTCCATATTTAGCAGCTTCATTACGATAGTATTTAATAAACTTTACTGTATTGTATTCTACTTTAACAAAATACTCTACTAATTATAAAGAGAAAAACCTCTGATTATCATTTGAAATTAAAGTCGAATTGTTAACTTTACTGTGAAACATCACAAATAAAATTTGGAGTGAAACGTCTAGGTGTGAATCGTCTTGGGCATTCATTTTTAAGTTGTAATATCAAGTTATATCAGGGACTCTTTACCTGTCTTTTTTAATTTGTTCCAATTTTTGTTTTTCTATGTTTTCCAGTATTAATGGTTTCCAGATATAAACTCCTAAGATTGCATTTGCACCCACAACAAATGCTAGTACGGGCCGAGATATGCCAGTTCTGCCTCTCCGTAGAAATGTCCTCATCTCATTGACAGGGCAATTGCAACTTCTCGGCTCTTGCCCATCCGCGAGGTGTTCCGAATGAGGAAAAAGTGTTGTAGTATTACGGAAGTAATCGAAAACCGGACAACGCCAGTCCAAAATGATCTCGATGTCTACTTAGTTGGATATAGTGTGTCAGGTTTGACAGTTGGGCGTATAAGTGTAGAAAATATCTAAGAAGAATTAAACAAGGTTTGACGATTTCGAGTCAACTCGTCTCGTGGTCAACTCCTCACCTTTTTGGTCAACTCGTCCCTTATTTATTATTAATATTTGATAAATTATCAGAGAGTTTAAGATATATCTTACAGTCAACCCGGCCTTAAGTCAACCCGGCCCCTAAATTGGTCAATACGGTCCCAAAATTGATTTTCAGAGAATATTTTATTAAATTAAATTATTATGTGTTAGACGATATTTTGCTTCTTTCATTTTCCCTTTTGTCTATAATGATAAATTTATTACACACATAAAACAAGATTTTCAAATAATGTATAAATAATTTCATATTTACAAATAATTAAAACTTTACCAAATGAAGATTATGAACCATATAATTATTGAAAACATTATAAGGCTAATATGAAATTAGGTGCTACCTATGGCGCGGAAAGTCATGTAGATCTTCATGTAATTATGCAGTATCAAAGAAATTATCTAACTGAATTATATTGATAATGTTCAACACTACCTCTGATCAAAATTATGTGATTTTAGAATTTTTGTTTCATTTTTAAATATTCTGGTGTTTAAAGATAATAAACCTTGAAAAATTGAATTATACTTTTTTTGTTTAAGAAATGTTTCTGGTGGTTAGAGACTGACATGTCCCACATTCAGAACATTTATCAACATTTAAAAAAATTAAAGAAAAAAAACAACAACAAAAAAAACATGTATATATATATATATAGTAAACAAATACATGTATATATTTTGAATATTTACATTATCTAACACAATGTAATGGTAATAATGAAAAATTCCTTTCATTCTTTCCGTTTTGAAGGTGTCATTCGGTATTACATGCACCGCTTTGAACCGTTTTCACTCGGAATACTCGACGATTATCATTTATCCGAAAAGTTGAGATTTGTTCCGTTATCGGAATACCCCGCCTATTATCATTAAGTTATTGTAAATGGCGGCGCCCGACTAAAGTGACACTGAAAATTTCATTGATAGGTATAGAATTCTATATATTTCTTAATTGTTTTTTATTTGATTTACTTTTAAATATACACGTGTAGTCAATAGCCGGGCAAGCCAAAGCCCGCGGACCCGCTTTGCGGGCCCGGTCTTTGACTTCCCCGTATAATTATTGAATATAGCTGGTATTTATATATAGCTGGTATTTAATAATGATAGATTTATACTTTTTAATTAAATGTTTCTGTTGGTTAGAGACTGACATGCCCCACACTACAGAATATTTATTAACATTAAAAGACGTTTCAGTTATGTAAGCAAATTTAAATTGAAATTTTGATGATTGTCCTTATGTATTTAAGTACTGTGTAACAGGAATGTTTTTTATTGTTTAAAGTCCCAAGACCTTAAATCATTTTCTACAGAATGACAAAGAAATGTGAACCATTTCTCTTTAGATGTTCATCTGCATGAACACCATCATACAAAATTTTTATATGATACGCCCTCTTGAGTCAGTTGCAAATATCAGATGATTCATCTGTGAAAAGAACAAAAACAGAAAAGTTTTCCACTGTTTCATGTGAAAAAAACTACATAGTTTAAATATATTAAAATGTATTTATATGACAATATTTAAAGAAAATTTGACAAACTATTAACCAATTCCAAAAACTGTGATCAATAAATGTTAAAAGTATTGATTACAAATGTGAATAATTGATGATAAAATTTAGCTTAATAATCATAAAAGAAATATGCAATATGAATTAATAACATGAATGTTTGAATTACATATATATACATGTGATTAAGTAATAAAAGCATGCTAGTAAGAAAAAAAATACATTGATAATATTCAAAATGAGCAACATATGGGTAGGACTTTAAATTCTTTTATTTAGTGTCTAAATAAATAGTTTGATATACAGTTTTGTAGCTATTCATGGTATTAAATTCTAAATCTAGACAGATTCTTTTAATCAGTGGTGAAATGTCATGATGACATTTAATGTCATGGAATATTTTGAAAAGAAACATAGAAATAATAAACATGTCATCAATTAAAAAAATCATTATGACAAAAAATGTTGAGAGGAAGATGTAGACGAAATGATGAAAATATGTTTAATGTAGATTTAGAAAAATACATGAATACTAGTAATTGAATGTATTGGTGAAAGTACATATACAATTGTAAGTTTATTTTATGTGATATTTATATTTGTGAAAGTGTTAGTGGTTGACATACCACCCACCAAAAAATCTTCTGTTATTAGTCTACCCCAGATGAAGTTGTGGTTAGTAACATTTTAAAGGAAACCAACTGTGTCCTTTTTGATAAAGAGGATAATTTTGCCACAAATACAACTTTGAACTTAGAAACATTATTGAATTCATGCACAGACTCAGGCTCTGAAACGGATGAAGTGAGTGTAACAAACAACAATCCAGGTATGGCTAGTATAAACCCTTCAAATTCCGATTTACTGGAGATTCTAAACAAAATTAATAATCGCCTTGAGTCAGTTGAACATAAATTATGTACATTAGAATCATTAGAAAAAAAAGTGTGTAATTTTGAAAAGGATTTGGCTAAATTATGGACATGTATAAATGACCAAAATAAAAAGGCTATGGATAAAATACATGAAATTGAAGAGCGGGCGGAAAGCACTGACTACAACTTAGGGTTATTTTCATCAAAAGTAGAACAATTAGAATCAAGAAGTAAACAGTTGGCTGATGATTTAACCTATGTGCAATCTCAATCAATGAAAAATAACTTGGTGTTTGGAAATATTGAGGAGGCGCGCCAAGGGGAAAGTGAAGATACAGAGTTAGTATTGCGGGGATTTCTTGTGGAAAAGATGAAAATTGCTAGTGATTTAGTAGCTCAATTGAAATTTGAAAGAGTGCATAGGATGGGCGAAAGGCAAAGAGGAAGGGACAGAAAAATAGTGGCAAAATTCAATTTGTTTAAAGAGAGAGAACTGGTTCGTAAAAGTTGGAAATCATTAGACAATTCCAAGCATTTTGTTCACGAGCAGTTCCCTAAGGAGGTGATTGATAAGAGAAGAGCGTTAATCCCGAAAATGAAGGAGGCTAGGACGAAGGGACAACGGGCCTGGTTATCTTACGATACATTGTATATTGATGGTAAAGCACAGCGAGACGACCGAAGATAGGGATTCGATGAGGATAACCTTGGAATTCTCTCCTGGAATGTTAATGGTCTGACTGCTGAGAAAATAGAAGACGATGACTTTATTAACATCTTAAATCAATTTGGTATTATCTTTTTATATGAAACCTGGGCAAATGTGAATTCAAATATTAATCTAAGTGGTTATGTATCATATAATTATTTTAGAAAATTTCAACACCGGAACTCTAGAAGGTGTAGTGGTGGGATCGCTTTACTGTATAGAGAATCGTTAAAAATGGCATAGAAATAGTGCGTAACCATTTTGATACAATCTTATGGATAAAAATTGATAAACATTTTTTACTTTAGAAAGAGATATATACATATGTGGAATTTATTTATGGTGTGAAGATTCACCAGCGTACAATGTATGTGATGTCGATTTGTTTAACGTCATTCAAAACGATGTGTATGAATTTGAAACGGAAGGAGAACTGTATTTAATTGGAGACTGGAATAGTAGAGTTGGTACGAAAAAAGATTACATTGTTTGTGATGCATTAAATATTGATATTGATTATGATATGTATGACCCAGATGTACCCCTGTTTCGGGCCTCACTTGACAATACGTGTAACACTTTTGGTCATCGTTTAATTGAATTTTGTAAAAGTACAGGTTTACGTATTATTAACGGTCGAATAGATCACGATCGTAACGGTAATTTTACGTTTATTTCGAGACAGGGGGCGTCTGTTATTGACTACTTACTCACTTTGAATTGTAATTTTTCCAGAATTAGTAATTTTACAGTTCATGATTATACGGTATGGAGTGACCACTGCCCTATTTCTTTTAATTTATTTTGTAATAAATCACAAAATATTGAAAAAAACCAATGCAAGGAAAATTTTTGCAAATATGTTTGGTCAAATAACCTAAGGGAGGAATTCAGAGCAAAGTTAATAACTAAACTGCCGGTTTTTAATACGTTGTTAAATAATGTAGATATTTGTAGTAAATTATCTATTAATGCGCTAGTTTCTGATTTTACCTGTCTGATACAAGATGTAGCTAGCCCTTGTTTTGTAAATCTTATTGTGTAAATAATAGTGTTGATTTTTGTAATACATTTAATGATTTTGGTCATCGTTTAATTGAATTTTGTAAAAGTACAGGTTTACGTATTATTAACGGTCGAATAGATCACGATCGTAACGGTAATTTTGATGAAATTTTAGATAGGCATTTTACTATTGAAGAAATTACAGCGGCTGTTAAAACATTGAAAAGGAATAAATCTCCTGGGAATGATTTTCTTTTAAATGAATACTCCATTGAATCTATTGATATATTAGGGTGTCATATTTGCGATATTTTTAATTGTATATTAGATAGTGGTTTTTTCCCCGAATCCTGGACTGAGGGTGTTATTATCCCACTGCATAAAAAGGGAGACGTAAATAATGTTAATAACTATAGAGGTATTACACTAGTTAGTTGCTTGTCTAAATTATTTACAACGATTTTAAATAAAAGGATTATGGATTATTGTGAACAAAATAACTTGTTGTCTGATGCACAGTTTGGTTTTCGGAAAGGTAATTCAACTGTAGATGCCCTGTATATTTTATTGTCTGTTATTCAAAAATACCTAAATGAGAAAAAGCGTCTATACTGTGTATTTGTGGATTTCAAAAAGGCCTTTGATAGTATTTACAGAAATGCCCTATGGCTCAAGTTATATAATATTGGTATTAGAGGTAAATTGCTACGTATTGTTAGAGATATGTACGATAAGGTTAAATCTTGTATAAAAATATATTTATTCTGATTTTTTTGAATATGCTGTAGGTCTCCTAAAGGGGAGGTAATTTCACCGATAAGGTTTTCTCTGTTTATTGAATGATGACGTCGAGTTATTCTTAGAGCAGGATATAAACAGTGGACTTCAATTAAATGATATTATACTTATGCTTCTACTTTTTGCTGATGACATGGTAATTTTGGGTGATTCACCAGAACAGATTAACAAAAGTTTAAATCTTCTCTATTCATATTGTGAAAAATGGAGTCTGAATGTTAATATTGATAAAACTAAAGCAATGGTTTTTAGAAAACGTGGTGGGTTGTTATCTAATGAGGAATTTTTGTATAATGGTGAAAAACTCGAAATTGTTAGTAATTTTAATTACCTTGGAGTTGTTTTTAATTACACGGGTACGTTTGTTTTAAATCAGGAACAGATAATAGGAAAAGCCTTAAAAGCATTAAATGTTCTACTTATAAATTGTAAAAAGCATAAACTTAATCCCAAAATATTATGTCAGTTATTTGATGCGTTTGTCGGATCCATTCTTTGTTATGCCTTGGAAATTTGGGGAAATAGTAAGTCAAAAGAAATTGAAAGAATTCATCTTAAGTTTTGTAAAAGAATACTTAATGTTAAAATGAATACATGTAATGCAGCAGTTTTATGGTGAACTGGCTCGTTATCCTTTATACATTACAAGATATTTACGGATAGTAAAGTTTTGGCTTAAATTATTACAAACAGACAATATCATTCTTAAAGAAATTTATAATATATCTTATGAAGACTGCATAAATGGTAAGAAAAATTGGCTTTCAAGTGTTAAAGATTTATTATCGTCGTATGGTTTTATGTATGTATGGCATAATCAAGAGGTTTTATGTAGTAAATTGTTTTTTATTAGAATTCAAGCAGCGTTTAATTGATTCCTTTGTACAAAGCTGGCATGCTGATATTGTAAATAGTCCTGTTTTATTGTTATACAAGGATGTAAAAAATGTCTTCCAGTATGAAAAATATCTGGATTTATTACCTAGTAGCCTTAGGCATTATATTAGTAGAATAAGATTATCAGCACATCCGTTACTTATACAGTCTGGTCGTTATGGTTCAAATAGGATACCAAGAAATGAACGTTTTTGTATATACTGTAGCTTACATGATATTGAAGATGAGTACCACTTTGTTTTGGTTTGCACTTGTTACAATGACCTTAGAAAGAAATATATTAAGAAATTTTACTACGTTAGACCTAGTATGTATAAATTCTTAGAATTATTAAATAGTGATAATAAGATTATTTTACGTAACCTTGCTTGTTATATACGAGAAGCATTGGCTATGAGAATATCAGTTACACATCGTTGAATTCACGGTTAATCCTCTGTGTAACATAGCGTAGATAAATAAGTATTGATTGCATAATGTCTAACTTAAAATATAGATTACATTTTGCTTTGATAATATTTTGATATGTTTTTTATTAACGGAATTATAAATTAAGCAATAAAAACATATGCTTTGCTAACATTTGACTATGATATTATTATGTAATGTGACTTATATTTAAATATATTTAATTGTTTGTATTTTGTAGACGATGTATTTTGTACAAGTCTGAAAATAAAGTTTCTGTTCTGTTCTGTTCTGTTCTGTTATTAGTCCCTTTTAAATTATCTAGTTTTGTCCATAGATGCTTGTAAGAAACTGTTGTTTAATTGAAAAATAATTGAATGTGATGAAATGTGTTGTTGGAGATATAATGGAAAGTATATTTTCTCTGATATTTATATTTGTGAAAGTGTATCAGTTAGTGGTTGACATTGTTGTTCAGACAATAATTATGGTCATTGTAATTATCATTCTGCATATGTAAAATGCTCAGATTGATTTGGAGAGAGTAAATATACCTGTGTAGAAGCCTGTTTAATCATTATTTACTTCTATACAATAATTGTTTTCTTGGTATATTTCATTTGAATGTTTAACTTTTTTTGTTTGAAGTTCTTGGAATTGATTTCCTACAATATTGTTGTCCAGCCAATAATTATGCTTGTTGAAAATAGACATAGTTATTTACCAGTATGCTTGCTGAATGAAGACAATTATTAAGTGTGAAAATAATGCATAAATCTGGTAGAGTCTATATAATTTTTATGAATTTTTTTTCTTCAGAAAAATCAATTGAAATCAAGTGAAAATATGCTTGGAATTTCACTTAAACATATTTAGAACTGGTATAGTTGTATACAGTATAGTCCAGTAGGACTAGCTCAAGTTATTGCATAAACTTGCATAAGTAACTTAATTAAAAATGTTTAAAATATTTAAATGTACAAAAAGAAACATGTAAAATTTGTGGTAGTCCAAATATGCAAAAGTAAATATAATTCTAGGACTTTAAATAGGAAAATGTAATTATGCCAAAATAGTACGTTCAGCCTGTTGAGACGACAGCGATAAAAAAGCAGACGACTGGGCCGTTTAATGATAAAAAATCAGTGTAGTTTACACGCTTTTCGGAATAAAAATCAAAAAGCGCCCGCTATTCATAACATTTAAACCAGTCTAAATATTCAGCCATTGGGCGCTTGTTAAGCGTTTTACAAGAGGCGCTTGTCAAGCGTTTTACAACATAGATTTCAAAATGGCGGCGCCCGCTAACTAAGGATTTTTTCGCAGCTCATTAGGTTTGGGATATATATTTTTTTGAATTTTTCATTAACTTTTAATTTGATTTCTTTTGAATTGATACGCGTCATACATGTTATCTAAGAGCGCTACAGCCCTCGCGGGGCCTTCGGCCCCGCTCGGACTTTCCGCGTATAATTTGTCGGTTATTTAATCACAGACACTTTGGGTGTGGAGCTTAAAACGCCAGTAAAATCCAAATAAAAGTATATTTGTCAATCCCAGCACATGTATAGATCATATATATCAAAAAAACTTAAGAAAAGCCATTTTCAAAAAATTTCAAACTTCAACGTCTATTATAGAAAAACTTTTCATAACAGTTTTCTCAGCAACTAATTATCACAGCCTGTTGATATTTGGCATACAGCATTTACACATGGTCCCATACTGTGGGATTGGGTTTCAGGTCTGTCCCTTATCCACTTCCTGTTTATCAATTTAGTAAAATTTTCAACATTAATGGTCAATGGTTGGAAATTTTCATAACAGTTTTCTCAGCAACTACTGTACTTATCACAGCCTCTTGATATTTGGCAACAGCATTGACACATGGTCCCATACCGTGGGATTCGATTTCAGGTCTGTCACGCATCCACTTCCTGTTAACTGACTTAGTTAAATTTTCGACATTAATCGTTAATGGTAGGAAATTTTCATAACAGTTTTCTCAGCAACTACTTATCACAGCCCCTTGATATTTGGCATAAAGCATTGACATAATAAGTGGGATTCCATTTCAGGTCTTTTGCTTTACCCACTTAGTTATATTTTCGACATTAATAGTCAGCGGAAATTTTGTTTACGTAAAAACACAGCATCATGATATTTGGTATACAAATGCAACCGGGCCTTTTCTGTCTTTGACCTCTTTTTTAAGTTTAAATTTAATGTTTGTCCAGTGTGTTCATTTAAGCTTGATTTAATAGAATTATAAGTTTTCATTTAAAAGAAAACACAAGAGAAATTTTGATCTTGATATAATATTATTAGGTAATCTGAGATCACATGTTTCACATTCATATAAATGATTCTATTATCCAGTACAAATAGAAAATTTGTTTCATTAAGAAACTCAATCAAAATGTCTTTGTCTATCCATATGACAATCCAATAATCATTACCATAGTAATATTCATAATCCAGCAAATATTCAAACATGACTTCTACAAAATACAATATTGTACAATAAGATATACAAATAACACACAATTTGGGTGGGCGTGGAGGGTAAATTAGAATCTCAACATGTGATCTACTTGTCAAACAAATAGAGAATGAATAAAAATTGTAGAAGCGCAAAAGACAAAAATATAAGCGACCAATAGAAAGTTGTTTACTGCCTACGTAATGTATAAACTAAAATCCACCAATGAAAAAGAGTTTTTTAAAGGTCAAATTCATTCAACCTTATAATTAAGTTATTTTAGTTCAAAATAAACAACATGGGTGAATAATATTGCAGGAACGAAGTGAATCACCAGAAAAAAATATGTACAAAAGAAGTTATATACCTGTACCTATATAATATTAATTTCCCCAATTTGTATCATAATAATAATGTGATATTTTTAGTCTTAGCTATTGATTAATTGAATGATTTACTAAGTTTTCTATTTTCAGACCAAAATGAGTGTTCCTTATATACCAGGTGTAGAGGAAGGTACATCATTGGAAGGGAATATAGAAATCAGAGCTAGTGACTTACAGTATATAAACTTTCCAGAGGACAAATCATATAACACTATCAATATAACACAGTCGGACATAGCAGATTTTGGAGATGAAGGGTTTTTATTACATAATATTTCATCTGATGACGAGTGCAGATATTTCATTGATGAAGGAGAAAGGCTTGGTTTTGAAACTATCAGAGGAGTTAGGGATGACTACAGAAGCTGTAAAAGGTTACAAAGACTGTTCTACTCATTTCTAGATTCCCCTATAAACATGATTTATATATATAATTAAGCCCTAGCTTATTTAAATTTTTGGGTGGAGATTGGTGGCTTATTTTCTAGGCCAGCATATTTTCTAGCTATGTGCAATTAAGTCTCAGCAGCTTATTTTCAAAGACATTTCATAAAAGTAGATTTAACCCTAAAGGGAAGTCTATATTCCGTTACTAGTATCTTTGTCACATGGGTAAAATCTGTCACCACCGGCAGGCTTAAGATTAATAAATTATACTGGAAGCCGTTAGAAAATATATGATATGGATGCAGTAAATGATTTTTGTAGTGTTGATAAATCATTGAATGACTTTGTGCTCTGTTAATTTTCAGGATAACTATTGATAGTAAAGAATTATCAGCTGTTTTGTGGTCTCGTATAAAATCCTATGTCCGTGACATCACAATAAGTGACAATCCACACTCTCTTCATATTCATGGTTCACCATCATTGATGAAAGGGACATGGAAACCCATTGGACTTAATAATGTAAGATTCCAAGATGTTATTCATTTATTCAATACTATTCAGACTCTGTAAAGGTGGGTGAGACTTCAAGATAGGCCTCTTTAAATTCTTAACCTTCTGGTGGCTACTGAATTTATCCATGCCACCCGTGCAACCCAAGATCAGCCGACTCATTCACATTATCGAGGTCTGCGTTGTTTACAATTCAGTCATTATATACATGTATTTTAAAATTTCTCTAAAAATGATGAATGGTGTTGTCCAAACTGAAAGATGGACAAGTCTTTTTGAGATATTTAGTGGTTTGAGGATTAGCCAGAGAGTTAGATTGCTATTTTTAGCTTGATTATTTGAAAAAAATTGGGGCTATCCTGCTCCCAAATCCCCTTGTGTTGTTGTTAGTGAACATTTTACCACAGTTTGTCATTCACCACTGAAGGTAACAGTCATATCTTCAGGAATCATCATCAAACTTGTAGGTAACATTTCTAGACCTTAATATGACAATGGCTTATACTTGGACAGAATTGTATCCTTTTTTTTATACCCCCGCACAACAAAGTTGTAAGGGGGGTATACTGGAATCAGCTCGTCCGTCCGTCCAGCCGGCCGTCCGTCGGTTTTTTCTTGTCCGCCCAATAACTTAAGATTCCTTTGACCCTTAGTCTTCATATTTGGCATGGAGGTTAGTCATGATTAGTAGATGACCCCTATTGATTTTGAGGTCACTAGGTCAAAGGTCAAGGTCACAGGGGCCTTGACTTCAAAAAGCTTGTTCGCCCAATAACTTAAGATTTCTTTGACCCACAGTCTTCATATTTGGCATGAAGGTAAGTCGTGATTAGTAGATGACCCCTATTGATTTTGAGGTCACCAGGTCAAAGGTCAAGGTCACAGGGGCCTTGACTTCAAAAAAATTGTCGGCCCAATAACTTAAGATTCCTTTGACCCATAGTCTTCATATTTGGCATTGAGGTTAGTCATGATTAGTAGATGACCCCTATTGATTTTTAGGTCACCAGGTCAAAGGTCAAGGTCACAGGGGCCTTGACTTCAAAAAGCTTGTCCGCCAAATAACTTAAGATTCCTTTGACCCATAGTTTTCATATTTGGCATGGAGGTTAGTCATGATTAGTAGATGACCCCTATTGACTTTGAGGTCACCAGGTCAAAGGTCAAGGTCACAGGGGCCTTGACTTCAAAAAGCTGTCCGACCAATAACTTCAGATTCCTTTGACCCACAGTCTTCAAAATTTGGCATGGAGCTTAGTCATGATTAGTAGATGACCCCTATTGACTTTGAGGTCACCAGGTCAAAGGTAAAGGTCACAGGGGCCTTGACTTCAAAAAGCTTGTCCGCCCTATAACTTAAGATTCCTTTGACCCACAGTCTTCATATTTGGCATGGTTGTTAGTCATGATTAGTAGATGACCCCTATTGATTTTGAGGTCACCAGGTCAAAGGTCAAGGTCACAGGGGCCTTGACTTCAAAAAGCTTGTCCGCCCAATAACTAAGATTCCTATGACCCACAGTCTTCATATTTGGAATGGAGGTTAGTCATGATTAGTAGATGACCCCTTTAGATTTTGAGGTCACTGGATCAAAGGTCAAGGTCAAAGGGACTTTGACTTCAAAAAGTTTGTCCACCTATTAACTTAAGATTCCTTTGACCCACAGTCTTCATATTTGGCATGGATGTTGATCATGACTATAAGGTGACCCCTATTGATTCTGAGGTCACTGCGTCAAAGGTCAAGGTCACAGTGACAAAAAAAAGCTTTTCTTCTCAATTGCTAAAGAATGTCCTGTCTGCAATGTATTGATTTTGACATTTTCACATTTGAAGCATGTAGAATACATAACTTAGCAATGCACTGGCTTAGTAACCTCAGATTTGGCAGGGAGGTTGTCCTTGAGCTCTAAATGGCCACTGTTGATTCTGACAAAGTGGTATGCGGGGGTATTCATGCCATGATAGTGGCAGTTCTAGTTGAACTTTAAAAAATTTGAATCTTCATTTTACACAAGCACACAAGGTATTTATTTGAAACTCAATACATGTCTTTTGGGTCGTCATAAATAATTTAGGCTGTAGTATTAAGGTTAGGCAAAAACAGCATGTCCTCTTGGATAACAGCCTTTGTTTCACACAGAATAGTTTTTCTTTATGGTTTTTTTTTAACTCAGTGTGTGCCAAACAAAAGGTAACTAAATGAGTGGACTAAAGTATTATTACAGCATTATTAAAGTAAACTTCAGTGAATTGAAGATTTTACAAAAGATACATGTAGTTTTAAAATAATACAAACTTATTCAATATTGCAAATATGTCAAATGAAATATTTAAACTTCTGTAAGAATTCATTCATGAATTGATTTATTTTTCCAGATATTTAGACTATGTAGATATTTTCCCGGTGGACATTTTGCTCCACATTTTGATGGTCACTATGATGCTAGTCCTTCAGAACGGTCATTGAAGACATTCATGCTCTATCTGAATGGGGATTTCTCTGGTGGTGCTACAAATTTTGTGGATGAAAGTCAAACATTATACAAGGTAATCACTTATTCCTTCGACCTTTATTTTGTTTAAAATGAAAAAAAAATTATTCAACAATAGAGGATATTATATCTTAGACAAACTGTTTGCAAAATAATTATATGTAGATACAAAAGATATGCAACATGGTTGTTGTTTTTTTGTCTTTAATCTGTAAACCAAAGCTGTCATTGTAACTTGTTTAACTTGGTGGAGTTTTAAGTTATATTGAGGACTTTACAGCTTTTTCCAATTTTATTAAAACAAACCTAATATATATGCAAGTCTTCAGTTAGAATCTGTAAAAAATCCAATAGAAATTGGGTCCAGGCCATGCACTGTACCACAGTTGTCTTTACGGATAATAATAACATCATGCCCATTCTTCTAATCCCATCAATGTTTTTTTTGATGCTTTGATGTTTTCAAATAAATGAGCATTGTATCTACAAATTGTTCAAACTTAGTTACGCTTTAATCCAGCGTTCAAGTGAAATTTAAGTATGACATTTTCCAGGGTTAACATTGAGCTCCAGCAAATTTTAGCCGTTACCATGGTTATTTCAGGTGAACTGAACCGGTACTGGACAACATTAAACATATAATATTTTATCTTTCAATAGTTGAAACCTTGATTTTTACGCAGGTATAAATTGTTTGAAGATAACATAAAAATTATCACACTTATGAACAAATTTCAGGTAATTCTAGATCATCCCTTGTAACAAATTTGTAGAAATACTGTTAAACCTCAAGCTTTATTTACACATGTCAAAAATGATCATACTGATTCACCGTCTAAAGATTAGTTTGACAAATTATGAAAGTAAAAACTTGTAAAAAAATACTTCTTAAAAAAACTCTGCATTTTTGAAACATGAGATTGTAAATTATTTGAGTGCACAAAATAATTGTCAATTAATGAAGTTTCTCATTTATCATGGTAATCAGGATGAAGTGACAGGGAAATATTGTGCTGAAGAGAAGAATATTTTATGTTCTGTACAACCAGAGGCTGGCCTCGGAATATTGTTTAATCATCACAGACTGCATGAAGGGGCTCAGTTAAAGTAAGTTTGTGTTCACTTATTAATAATTCTTATTACGCGAGTGAAGAAAATGAATTATGTTTGTAGCCAGTGTAAAAAACAGCTGCTTAAGCCTTGACCTGCGGAATTTCCAATGTAAAAACTTGCCCATCTTCCTTTTTTGGAACTGTCCATTACCAGTTTTGGGTATGTCAAGATGTAAATTTGAAGTTAGTCAGCCAACAGTGTAGAGAATGGCCTGACTGTTGGGATATACATGCTGACCTAGCTCTATAATGATGGCACTTTACATGAAACTAGGATGCTAAGCCAACAATATCCCCAGTTTGAAAACACAGGGATTAGTCCCAATTCTTTGGAATTCTTGGAATCCAGGGACCCCATTTGTGTTGAAACAAGCTTGCAATATAGGATTGATTTGCAGGTATGGCTTATATGATGAACAGAGTTCAGTGCTGGATTTCAGCTTGAACTGACACCTGCAAGACTGAATGCCATGGTCAATAGATATGTCAAGGTGAGCCTTGCAAGGATTATATCATTTGATGCCAATTGTATGAGGAATAATTATTCATCTCTTAGTTCATAGTTAAAAGTAGAATGAAATTGTATATTGTATGATCATAATTATATATATATTTAAGGGATGGTGTGAAGTATATATTACGTACAGATATCATGTTTAAAAATGTAGATCAGAAACTTAGTGAAGAATACATAAAAGCTGTTAAACTTTTACAACAGGCAGAAACTTTAGAGGTAAGATACTTGAAATTGTCATTTCTTGTTGATATATGTTTTCAATTTTCTTCTAAGTTAAATTTTATATCATTTCTGCAAGATCTGAGAAATTTGCATACCTTGAACTGGACTTTGTACTTGTTTATTCTCAACTAGTTTGAAGTGTACATTATAATTTGTTGTTTTGTTTTTTTTCGAAGATAAAATTCTTTTTATTTTTTTTTTCAAGTTATCAGAGGTCTTTGAAGTATTGTGTCAAGCAGTTGTGACTTGAATAAAAGAGAGAACATCTCTTTACCCAACCATCTTACTTACCCGTATGTTGATACAATCAATTGTTTATAAAAAGAGTAATACATTTGTAATAAATGATAAATTTCTATAATTATGCTTTTCTATTTTTAGAATGGAGGAGAGTGTATGAAAGCTGTAGAGTTTTACAGACAGGCATTTAAACTTGCCCCAGAGCTGGAGAATTCTCATTAACAGGACTGTCATTAACGAAGGTGTTTTGTGTTCAAAACAAAATCTTTTCCTGCGTAAATATTGGATTTTTACATTTTAATACTTGATCAGAAACTACAAGATCTTCTGATCATAAAATAACACAGTGACTTTATAAATACTTTTCCATTTACTATCAGTTCCAAAGAAAATACCCTTTTCCGAAGTATGGTTAAGCTGTGTTGTTGATTAATTTTCATAACATGATGATATTGGTTTGTGATAAACATTGAATATAATACAAGGAGGTGGAATAGTTGCAATATAAACTACAAACACAAAAAGTGATAGATTTCTGCATAACATAGCTGGAAGTATAAGGATATATGGTTATCTGTTGAAATTCTTAATGTCACATTGTTCAGATATAAATTTTCTGATTGTGATCAATTATGTGAAAATTGCTTGCATATGTTATTGAATATTGAACAGTAAAGAAGCTTACTGCCAGGTTCATTCGATGAAAATTAGATGTTGTTAAGTTAACAAAGTGATATAAGATGATTGTTAGGCACATACTATACATGGAAGTTACTGTATGTGGTAATATGTCAAAATATGTAAACAAAGCTATTACTTTTTTGGTGACAGGACATAAGTATTGTGATAGAAAGGGTAAATATGATCATACATTGCATGAAATAAGCAAAGTATCACATTGATTATGAATATTTACATTTATGAAACTTTTTTTTTTTTTTAAGATGATTTTTATGCCTGAAAAATTTCAGGGGAGCATATAGTCGGCGCCTTGTCCGTCTGTCCGTCAGTACAAACCAGAGCTACATTATGGGGTTTGGTCTATTGTTCTCATAACAATAGATGTATTTGATGTCATTCATTTCGTTTCTCTTGTGGGGTTATTTTCTGCATTGTGGGGTTAAAAAGAAGAAAAGAAATAACAAAAGAAAACCCCATAATGAAGCTCTGGTTTGTACTGACGTCTGTCCGTCTGTTGTCTTGTCCAGAGCATAACTTGAAAACTCTTGGAGATAATTTGTTGAAACTTAATACAGTGGTAGAGGGCATTGAGGGGGGGGGGTGCAGTGTCAAAGAACCATAACTCTTTTTGTCCTAATTTTGGAGTTACTGCCCTTTGTTAATTTTAACACTTTGAACTTTGTCCGGAACATAACTCTAAAACTATAAGAGATATCAAGATGAAACATTGTAGGTAGATAGATCTCATTGAATAGAGGTGCAGTGCAAAAGAACCACAACTCTGTTAAGCCTCATTTTTGAATTATCTCCCCTTTTAGAAAAATCTTGTCCAGGACATGGCTGTAAAACTATAAGAGATGTCAACATGAAACTTTGTAGGTAGATATATCTCAATGGGTAGATGTGCAGTGCATATCATAACTGCCATGCCTAATTCTGGTTTTATTGCCCTTTGTTTATTTTTACTTTTTGAAGTTGTCCGGGACATAACTCAGAAATCATAAGACATATCATCAAGAAACTTTGAAGGTTGATAGATCACATTGATTAGAAGTGCAGTGCAAAGAACAGTAACTCTGCCTTACCTAATTTTGGAATTATTGCACTTTGAACTTTTTTCAGGGACATAACTCTGAAACTACAAGAGGTGTACTTTCTTGTGTCCAAAACCTATTCGGGGAGCATCACCCAGCTCAAACCGGGCTCTTGTTTTTTAAAGTTGTTATCTCATCTAGAGATACGAGGATTGTTCGGAAAGTTTTGAGACTGGGTCAATATTTAGCGTTGGAAAAGATAAAATCAAACAAGAGTTTACTATGTATTACTTTAATACCTCATCTATTATAGTGTAAAATTTCATAACAATAGCTTCATGTATACAAAAGCTACAAAGCGATAAGCACAAACACTACCGGTGACCCAGCGCACGCAACGACGTTATCCGACGTTGCCGTTATTTCCAGAGTTTAATGTCACCGTAGAAAAGTCAACTGCTACTCCTTTTCAAAGTATCTTCCTTCACAACGTACACATTTCTCATGCCTCGTAACCCACTTGGCGAATACATTTCTATACCAGTCAGATTTAAATGTTGCAATAATGCTCATAATTCTCTTACTGTTATGCGACGGTCGTACTGAAGGGCGTTTCTTGCAAGTGTCAGTTTATCGTCGATGACGGATGGGCGACCGCTCCTTTCCTTGTCTTTTGTTGACTTTCTGCCATCCCGAAACTCTTTATGCCATCTAAATATCAATGGTCGACTAACAGTACGTCCGTTGTTTGCCTGTTCTAGAAGTTGCTTAGTTCCTGTTGGCATTTTCCCAAGATTAACGCAAAACTTAATAAAAACACGCTGTTCCTCTTTTGACGGTGTTTCCATAGTCGTTGTCTTGTTGCGCACGTATTGCTATAATGATCTGCGGTAACAGCTTAAACAACTAGCGGAAATGACGTCCTTAAGTTGGAAGTGACGTCAAAAAATTTTCGTGACGTTTGGCGCAATTTAAAGGGCTCTTTTTATTCAGTAAGAAAACTTATAACAAGAAAATAGTCCGTGCGCCAGGATGCGTAGATAGGTGTTGATATGGAAACGATTATATGCCGTATAGTAACGTTACAACGTTTCAAAGACATAACTCGGATAAATAACATATTAAGCTATAATTTGTATTAAATAATATTCGCAGCTGTAATTAGAAACAGAGAAAATCATATTGTCTCAAAACTTTCCGAACAACCCTCATACATTGTTAGCAGCTGTAATTGTTTTATAAAAGGATATAAATCAGTATCTTTTGAAATATTTTCATAAAATTTATATACAGTAAAATTATTTTGTTTCAATATTTTATGGTTGTTTCTCAAACTGTTGCCTCTCTCATTTAACATACATGAATATTGTACATAAACATACATGTAATAAAATGTTCAGCAACAAAATTATATGCTGCTATTTAAAGTTATATACTCATTCTTTCATCGTCATTATGCTTATTTACATGTTAAATATATTTTTATGTGCCTATTTTTATCATTCTAGAATTGGTATTTTTATACAGTATTTACATTCTGTGATATATTTTATCATTTAAATATTGTTATCATATCTTCTATGCTTAATAATAAAATAATAAAATGTTGTATTTATAGTTTAGTTTTTGCTGAAACCTACATCTCTCCATCAATTTGATTTTGAAATTTGTGTCTCCTGCTACAGAAGCCCTCTATTAAACAAAAGAAAATAACAATAGAAATGACCATTTATCCCAATTGGTTGGATATCTGTCTGCTGTCAGTCCGTCACAAAACTTGTCCAGAATACTCCTCAAAAACTTGATTGAGGTGAAGTTTCATTCAAAATTTACAGGACACATCAGTGCCAAGTCTAGTTGTGCATGTTGCCGACATTTTCAGGTTCAATGACTTGTTGGAGTTATGGCCCTTTAATGATTTTTAGCTCGACTTTTTTTTTTTTTTTGAAAAAAAAAGTAGAGGTATTGCTATAGTGCCGTTCCCGTCTGCAAACTTGTACCTGGATCATAACTTTTTTATTTCTTGGTGTATTGTCTTCATACTTGGCCACAACAACCTTTGGGGCAAGACCTTTCAGTAGACCACACTAACCTTGACCTTCATCCATAAATGACCTTATGTAAGACCTGTTCCTTATTTGCATTACTAAGAAGGAGGTCTTTCTTTTGGTAAACATAATCTTACACTATCTTAGTGAGCTTTCTTTATGAGTAAAAGCTTCTTTACATAAAGCATCATTGGAGGATTCTGTGTGTGATCTAGTACTGACCATACTCCAAAATGTTTGAGAAACATATTGTTTTTGCCTTCGCTGTCTGTCCATCCGTCAGAATGTCCCTTTGTCCGTCCGTCGGCATTAAGCTTGTCTGCCCTTCACAGGTCAAACCACTTGTGGGATTTCAACCAAACTTTATAGGAGTGATCAGTACCATTCCTAGTTGCGCACTTCACCGGCACGTTCCGCTTCGCTTCACAAAATGGCCGCCAGAGCTAAAAATAGAAAAGTCTTGTCCGGCCTTCACAGGTCAAACTACTGGTGGGATTTCAACAAAACTTTACAGGAGTGATCAGTACCATTCCTAATTGTGCACATCACTGGCACGTTCTGCTTCGCTGCAAAAAAATGGCAGCCAGAGCTAAAAATAGATTATTCTTGTCTGGCCTTCACAGGTCAAATTACTGGTGGGATTTCAACCAAATATTACAGGAGTGATCAGTACCATCCCTTGTTGTGCACATCACTGTCATGTTCCACTTTGCTGCACAAATTGGTCGCCAGAACTAAAAAAAAAAATATCTTGTCCGGCCTTCACAGGTCAAACTACTGGTGGGATTTCAACCAAACTTTACTGGAGTGACCATACATAGTTTTGGGAGACATATGCTTTTGTGACAAAAACCCTTCTAGTTTTTAGGTGCAGTACATTCAAATGCAGACTATTATAAATCCAGCTTAAATGAATACAGCATTTACTGAATTTGAAGCAAACTGCTCATTCTATGAAGGAGCTGTTTTTTTCTTTTCATTTTATGAACATTTTTGGAATGTTTGTATATGTTAGTATTCATCCATGTTGTTCTACAGGAATTAGAAACTTCGACAGGAGCAATAGAATGTTTCTCATTTATGTAGAACAGCTATGGATGAATACTTACATACTTTGTGGCAAGCTTTATTTGGCTTCATTAATATTCACTTTATTACATCACTACAAATGACTTTTTTATGAACACACTATGAAAAATAGAAGGCGACTATGAATGAAATTTAATGAAAATTAACACAGAGAATCTTTAAGAAATACAGCTTTTTCTTTGGATAACAAAAAAAGCTGGACACTTAATGCTTATAAAGAATTTTAAAAAATTATGAGGAAAGGTATTGAACTAAGAACCTGACATTGTTATTGTATACATGTATAATAAAAGATTTAGGGCAACATTTTTGTCATGACACAATACATATAATATAATCACCATAAAGAGTAAGTTACAACAGTA